TTAGGGTTTATGAAGGAGATGAAAGTGGTAAGGACTAAAGTGCTGAAATAGTGGGTGCATTTGCCATAATTGTAACGGCACTATTTGTTGGTTCTGTCTACCATACCCTGGTGCATTTATTAAATTTGTGTTTGAAAGAAGGAATGAGGCCAAGGATTGACAGATCATATATTATTCCATTGTTCAAAGAGAAAGGGGATGTGAGAGAGAATCTTATTGGTGAAAATATGTTTTTTTTTTATATATATATCAAGTTAAGTGTGCAACAAGAGTATAATTGAGTGAAGGGCAGCGACACACGTAATGTGTTGCTGCTACCCGCATTTACTCTCATGTTCAGTTTGTTCCTTTGCTTTATATCATGTTTATGTCTCCATTTTTTCTATGTTCTGGGGTATTTTTTATGACATAATCATGTCTAGTCTTGTTCTTTGTTCTTACAGAGACAAGGAAACCTAGCTCTAAGATTTTGTTCCACATAGCTCAGGCACGATCCTGGATGTACAGTGGACCCCCGCCTTACGATATTAATCCGTTCCTGTGAGCTCATCATAAGCTGAAATTATCGTTAGCCTAATTAATTTTCCCCATGAGAAATAATGGAAATCAAATTAATCCGTGCAAGACACCCCAAAGTATGAAAAAGAAAAACTTTTACCACATGAAATATTAATTTTAATACACACAAACTGAAGAAGACATGCACAGTTACTACTCTACTAAGAATAAATACATGACACTTACCTTTATTGAAGATCTGGTGATGATTGATGGGATGGGAGGAAGAGAGTGTGTGGAAGTTACTGTTTAGAAGGGGAATCCCCTTCCAGTAGGACTTAAGGTAGCAAGTCCTTTTCCGGGGCTACTTCCCTTCTTCTTTTAATGCCACTAGGACCAGCTTGAGAGTCACTGGACCTCTGTCACATAACAAATCTGTCCATAGAGCTCTGTACCTCCCATTCCTTTAAGATTTGCCTAAAATGGGCCACAAGATTGTCATTGTAATAGTCACCAGCACGGCTTGCAATAGCTGTGTTAGGGTGATTTTTCATCCATAAAGGTTTGCACTTCAACCCACTTTGCACACATTTCCTTAATCTTTGAAGTAGGCACAATGGATTCCACAACTGGCATAGGCTTCTCAGGGTTAGCCCCAAACCCTTCAAAATCTTTTTTAATTTCCATACTAATTTTCTCCCTTTTTACCACAGGGTTGGCACTAGAAACTTTCTTGGGGTCCATGGTAACTTATTTTGCAGTTACAAGCACAAAAAACACTGGAATAAGGTGAAATGTACTGAATGTATGCGTGGATGTGACCGCACTGGCTGGCTTGTAAACACTGGCACCCACGAGGCAGCTGAGGCCACATATGGGACGCGTCCTGGACGAATCACGTAAGGCGAGGCAAAATTTTTGCATTCAAATGCTTTGTATGGAGGATTTAACATAATGCGATGCGTTTGTAAGGCGGGGGTCCACTGTACTATTTTGGGACTTTCTGAGCTTTCTAATGTATGGTTATCAGACTTTTGATGTCTCAATTATACTCTTGTTGCACACTTGACAGTTGATGTAATTTTTTTTTTTTTTTTTTTTAAGAGGGAGTGGGATTTGCTTTGTCTCAGTGGGAGATGACCATGTTAAAAAAAAAAAAAAGTGTGTGACTAGATGAGGGTTCTATCCATTTTTAAACATTTCAAGTTTCGAGTACGGTGAACCCCCTACTTATGATATTAATCCGTTCCAGAGGGCTCATCGTTAGACAAAATTATCTTAAGTCGAATTAATTTTTCCATAAATAATGGAAATCCAATTAATCTGTTCCAGACACCCAAAAGTCTGAAAAAATAATTTTAACACATGAAATATACATTTTCCTACACACAAAAAGGAGGATACATGCACAATATATGTACTGTACTAAATGAAGAATAAATGACACTTACGTTTATTGAAGATGTGGCGATGTGTGTTTGATTTGGGGGAGGAAGGAGAGGGAAAGTGTTTAATTTGGGAAAGGGGAATCCCCTTCCATAAGGATTTTATGTCAATCCTTTTCTGGGGTTATTTCCCCTTTTTTTCTTTCAATGCCCTGGGAAAATTTGAAGCCTTGGACCCTGTTGCAAACCAAAAATTGTCCATAGAGCTCTGTCCCTTTGTGTTCCTTTAAGATTTTTCCAAAGTGGTTCAAAACATTGTCATTGAAAAAAGTCACCACACGGTTTGCAATAGCGTGCGGGGGTTTTTTTCCTCCATAAAGTTTGCACCTTTGAAACCACATTGTACACATTTCCTTTTAATAGTTGAAGAAGGCAACCCCCTAAAATTTTCTCTTTTCCCCTCCTTTGAAGCTTTTTTTTCGTTGTGGCCTCTTGCTGTTGCAGATCTCTTGCAGCTCTCAGTGGTTAGTTCTTCATCGCGTCCTCCACAACTCTTCCACCCTCCCCACTAACCTCCAACCCCAAAGGGCTTCCCCCAATGCCCCAAAAAGATTCCCAACTGGCAAAGGCTCCTGAGGGGTTACCCCAAACCCTTTCAAAATCTCTCTTCTCAAATTTTGGCCACAGTTTTTCCCCCAACAAGTTCAGGGTCTTGTTAGCCACTCCCCTCCAAGCTTACCATAAGGCTTAGCAATTGAGGATACTTAAGGAAACTTTCCAAAATCTGTTAGGGTAGTCAAGTGTCTGAGGTCACTTTTTAAAGCCTTTTGAAACTTTGGGGTGTACTTTTTGAAATTTTAAAAACCCGCTGGTCCCTGCGCTGGGGTGAGGATTGGTATTGGGGGGGCAAAAATTCCCCTTTGATAAAACTCAAGTCCCCCGAAATTTGCTCTGGCAAGTCTGAAGGATGAGCAGGAGCATTTCTAATACCAGGAACCACTTAAGGTCCAATTTATTTTTCAGGAGGTAATTTTTCACAGTCATAGAAAATGTCCCTAGTGACCCATGCCTTACTGTTTGCCCTCCACATCACACACAAATTAGCCATGACAACATTGTTTTTCCTGAACACACTGGGAGTTTCAGAGTGATACACGAGTAGAGGCTTCACTCTGCAATCCCCACTAGCATTACTACACAACATTGAAGTAACCCTGTCCTTCATAGGCTTGTGTCCTAGGAGTGCTTTTTCCTCCTGTGTAATGTAGGTCCTGTTTGGCATTTTCTTCCAAAACAGGCCTGTTTCGTCACAAACACTTGTTGGGGTTGCAATCCTTGAGCCTTTATGTACTCCTGGAATTCCTGCACAGATTTTTCAGCCGCTTTTTTGTAACATGCCGGCTATCTCCCACTGAGGCAGGGTGACCCAAAAAAGAAACACTTTCACCACCATTCATCACTTTCACCATCATTCACACATAATCACTGTCTTTGCAGAGATGCCCAGATATGACAGTTTAGATGTCACTCCAAACAGCCAATATCCCAAACCCCTCCTTCACACACATGTATACTCTTGTACATTTCCTTCTTTGCCTCCATGGATAATATTTTTGTCTCCACAGACACTTCAGTGCACCACACATCATCTTTCCTTCGTCACATCTATGGTTAACCTCGTCCTTCTTCATAAACACATTTGCTGACAAATCTACTCCCAAATATCTGAACACATTCATTTCTTCCATACTCCCTCCCTCCAATGTGATATCCAATTTTTCTTTACCTAACTCATTTAATACCAAAATCACCTTACTCTTATCTGTGTTCACTTTCAATTTTTTTCTTTACATACCCTCCCAAACTTGTCCACTAACTTTTGCAACTTCTCTTTAGAATCTCCCAAAAGCACAGTATCATCAGCAAAAATTAACTGACTACTCCCATTTTGTATTTGATTCTCTATAATTTAATCCCACCCCTCTCCCCAACACCCTACCATTTACTTCTTTTACAACTCCATCTATAAATATGTTAAACAATCATGGTGACCTTACACACCCCTGTCTAAGGTCTACTTTTACTTGAAAGTAATCTCCCTCTCTCCTGCACACCCTAACCTGAACCTCACTATCCTCATAAAAATTCTTTACAGCATTTAGTAACTTACTACCATACACTTGCAACTTCTGCCACATAGCTTTCTTATCCACCCTATCATATGCCTTTTCTAAATCCATAAATGCAGTGAAAACATCCCCACCATTATCTAAATATTGTTCACTTATATGCTTCAGTATAAACACTTGTGTGTACCTGTAGCTAAATAAACTTGCACACTGTTCTGGCATGCAGATATACATTAAAATCACTAAGTGTCTTACTAGTCTTGAAGATGCCATATTATTAGTAATTGCTATGGAGTATAACATTTTCATTAATCCGTCTATATTTTTCAAAATTATACAAGAAACATGCTGCATATCATATAAACATGATACATGCACCCCTAGTAGAATAAATTTGACAAATATGAGATGTGGTAGCTGGGCGGCTTGTTGGAAGTGATGGCAAGAATCAAGTTTTCTCGAGTCCAACACCACTCATAGTTATTTATTTATTCATTCTACTGCACTAATGTGAAGACACCTTGTACACAATGTGTTTGTATTGTGGGGTAAATGCTTCACCAACTCATGCAAATGTACTTGTTTGAACCAAAAATAGACAGGTATGAATACAAGTCTGGCAGAGTGTTTGTTTACAATTCTTGGCATCTCCATATCTCTTGTAGGGGCTGTCACACCCGACTTCTACAATAAATACTCACCTCTCACCCTACATTAAGACTACACCTATTTTAAGGTAAGTAATGATTGTACTGTGTATGTATTTTACTTTTTATTGTTTCTAATGCCTAGTTCTGTTAATATATGTTAGTGTAAACTTGTTTATATTAGTGTAAACTTGTTGTATGGCATTTATATGTATTTATAACTGGAAAACACAGCATTCCGGCTTATGGCAGTAGCCTGGAACCTAACCTGTATAAGTGGGGACCTACTGTATTTTTATCATATATTTTTTCCTAATTTTGTGACTGGTATTTATTTCTAGGGTGGCAAATTCTACTTTTTGGAACATATACGGGAATTTGACGCTGTGAAGTATAATACACGAGGAAAACTACAAGACTTCTTGACTGAGAGTGGCATTTGGCCGTTTCTGTTTGATGGTTGCTGCTTAAATCGTGATATGCTCTATGCCATTAAAAAGGCTGGCTTCTCAAAGGTTGATGGTGAGCGCTTTTATGCTCCTATTACCAACTTCTTCTTCCAACTAATAAAACCACACCTGAAGGGCATTGCTGAAAAATAAATGTTACAGTGGCGATTATGAAAACTGACATGTTATTTCTGTAATAACTTGTCAGGTGCATAATTGAAGAAAAAACACTGATCTGATATATGCTGTATTAAATAATAAAAACATGAGCTGGTAGGCTTTTGTTTGAAATTTCACTCTATCTCAAACACACATTTATTCATATAAGTGCTAGACCTATTATGCTAAGCTCTGTGGGATATAGATGTATTATGAAAGTTTGTGCCCATGGCTGAATAAGGATATTATACATTATCCTAGGTGTAAATTTAAGGAATTATTATCTCTCGTATCATTGAATTTAAGGCGTCTCAAATCAATATACTAAATAGTTGTATTGGTAGCATGACTGAAGGGGAGGGTGCTTTCTTGTATCATTGAATTTAAGGACACTTGAATGAAGATAGTTGTATCAGTAGCATGATTGAAGGGGAGGGTGCTCTCTCATTTCATTAAATTTAACGAGTCTCGAACGAATGACTATAGTTTATGAGTAGCATGAATGAGGGAAGGGGGCTCTGTAGATGAGCTCTTCCATGGCTTCTTACATTGTAAGCAACAACATAGGCTCTTACTTTTTATTATTCTTCTAAGGAGTGTATTTTTTATCAGTCCTTAAGGTTTTATCTCAAGGTATTTTTGTTCTAAGAAAGCCATTGTTTTTCTTGCATTTGTTTTTTCACAAAGTTTATTCTAAAGCAGCTGGAACATAAGACAATAAGTTCTGTAGCCATATAAAAAAAATAGCTGTAAATTGCCCAGACGGGTGAAAGCAGCAGCTATAATTTACACAATGAAGTATGTTTTCAATATTCTTGGATATAAATACTGCTCATAATTTTTTATGTATTAATAAAAAAAGAAGAAAATGTTTTATTTTCTTTACCTCTTCAAGGGGGGGCTCTTTGGCATGGTGGAGTGGCTATTGGTCTGAGGAATTAGACCTTTGGGTCTTCTTCCTCAGACAGCCTTAATACCCCCCAATCCCCCCTTCTCTATCCCATCCTCCTTGTCACCCCTTTACCTTTCCTCCTCCTCTCCACTTTCCCATTCCTGTTTTTGCCTTTGAGGTTGTTCCCTTAGGCTCTGTAGTTCCTAGACCTGAGAAGGGGTTCTGGGGTCCATCTCCTTTCATTGAGGTCCTTGGTGGTAGTGTAGTTTGCCGTGGAATCTGGATCATCTAGAGTCCCTGATCTCTTTCCGGTCTACTGAAGGGAGAGGGGGTCTTCGGGCGCCTGTCAAGTGACGGGTGTATCTCTGGAGGTTGCCTTTTGGATTCCAGGAGGTGGTGGCTGAAGGAGGTAGGCTTTGTGGTGGATTTTCAACTGCCCTCCCTTTTGTCCACCGAGGTGGCCCGGTAGATGTGAGGTTGCTATCCCTGATTGTTGGTTTACTGGTTTGAAGGGTAGGGTATGGCACAGGTCCATGTCGCATCTGCACTAGTGACTGCGCTGAGGTTGTCCTTTTGCACATGGAAGGGAAGACTTGCAGTCCATTTTGCCTGCGAGCTGGTCCTCCACACTTCCTCCCCATTTTTTTCTTTTTACCTTTTTTTTTCTTCATTCTTTTCTTTTTTTCCTAAAAACAAAAGAAAAGAGAGAGTTAACCATGGAATCCCAAGTCCATGTACCTCCTCCTGATGATCCTGCCTTGTTACCAGATCATTCTTCAGACCTTTCTACTGCCCATGTATCTAATGCGGGTGACATTTTGTCCCACGCTCCAGATACAGAGGCTTGGCCTGACTTTTATTTTCTTTTATTTTTGCTTTTATTAGGTCTTTATTTCCTCTTATTTTCCTCTTTTATTTTTGCTGTTATTAGGTTTTTATTTCCTCTTTTATTTTTACTCCTACTTTTGCTTTTATTATGTCTTTATTTCCTCTTTTATTATTGCTTTTATTAGGTCTTTATTTCCTCTTTTATTTTCACTTTTATTTCCTTTTGATATGTCCGTCCTCCATGCATCTCTGACCGTGTGTCCAGCTTCTCCCTCTACAGTGCGATGATTATCAGATTGCTCACTCATCTCAGGATAGACCACCTCTGATCCCTTTCCAAAACAACCATGACCATTAATGGATGACACTCTTGTTTTCCTCTCTTGCCAGAAACAACCAACACGAAATAAACACAGTAGTATTATTTAACTTATATTTTCCTTCACCCAATGTTTATATTTACACTCCCTGCCTCAGTGGGAGATAGCCGACTTGTTAAACAAAAAAAAAAAAATGTACACTCTATACAGGAGTTGGACATAAGTGTATTACACAGTGATAAAGGCAAAGACAGAAGCCTGAGAGAGAGAGCACCATGCTTCAACCAGCTAGAGGTGAGTCTGGCAAATGTTGACCACAAGTGATACCCCATCGTCTCGGCACTTAGCAGGCTCGTCTGTGATAGGTCAATGAACCAAGGTACTGATTTAACGATGGGGCCCCTAAAGATCGTTAAACCCTTAGCACCTGGTTCGCTGGTTGGGAGGCAGCCTATATGGGAATGTGTACATATGCCAAATAAAGTGTAATGTACTCTTTGCATGCCACACTTGCAATTCAAGGTAAACAGTGGACTAAGTTCTTAACTCTACACCTGGTAGAGTTAAGGTACTCTTATGCCATGTTGGTGAAAATATTTCATTTCAAGTTCGTAAGAGTGGTGCATGCAACGTTCCTTTCAAAATGCTGGACATGCTCACAATCTTTCCATTCTTACCTCCATTCATAATATTCCTGTCATGATTCATAAACACACATCTCTGAATTTTTGCACTGGAACCATAGTTCTTCCACATACCATTGTTCAGTGTGATTTCCTGACTTATGATGCAGACATATGGAGCAACTTGAGTTCTAAGACCTCCCAATTCTTAGAGTGGACACTTACGTATTACCTGCCTGCGGGTGGAGGTTTCCCAGCATAATGGCTGGGGTAACTTTGACTAGGTTAAGGCTAGGTTAGGTAGTAGGTTGGTAGACAGCAACCACCCAGGGAAGTACTACCGTCCTGCCAGATGACTGTGAAACAGAAACCTGTAACTGTTTTGCATGATGGTAGGATTGCTGGTTTCTTTTTCTGTCTCATAAACACGCTAGATAACAGGGATATCTTGCTACTCCTACTTACACTTTGGTCACACTTCACAGACACGCACATGCATATATATATACATACATCTAGGTTTTTCTCCTTTTTCTAAATAGCTCTTGTTCCTCTTTATTTCTTCTATTGTCCATGGGAAAGTGGAAAAGAATCTTTCCTCCGTAAGCCATGCGTGTCGTATGAGGCGACTAGAATGCCGGGAGCAATGGGCTAGTAACCCCTTCTCCTGTAGACATTTACTTAAAAAGAGAAGAAGAAAAACTTTATAAAACTGGGATGCTTAAATGTGCGTGGATGCAGTGCGGATGACAAGAAACAGATGATTGCTGATGTTTTGAATGAAAAGAAGTTGGATGTCCTGGCCCTAAGCGAAACAAAGCTGAAGGGGGTAGGGGAGTTTCGGTGGGGGGAAATAAATGGGATTAAATCTGGAGTATCTGAGAGAGTTAGAGCAAAGGAAGGGGTAGCAGTAATGTTGAATGATCAGTTATGGAAGGAGAAAAGAGAATATGAATGTGTAAATTCAAGAATTATGTGGATTAAAGTAAAGGTTGGATGCGAGAAGTGGGTCATAATAAGCGTGTATGCACCTGGAGAAGAGAGGAATGCAGAGGAGAGAGAGAGATTTTGGGAGATGTTAAGTGAATGTATAGGAGCCTTTGAACCAAGTGAGAGAGTAATTGTGGTAGGGGACCTGAATGCTAAAGTAGGAGAAACTTTTAGAGAGGGTGTGGTAGGTAAGTTTGGGGTGCCAGGTGTAAATGAAAATGGGAGCCCTTTGATTGAACTTTGTATAGAAAGGGGTTTAGTTATAGGTAATACATATTTTAAGAAAAAGAGGATAAGTATACAAGATATGATGTAGGGCAAAATGACAGTAGTTTGTTGGATTATGTATTGGTAGATAAAAGACTGTTGAGTAGACTTCAGGATGTACATGTTCATAGAGGGGCCACAGATATATCAGATCACTTTCTAGTTGTAGCTACACTGAGAATAAAAGGTAGATGGGATACAAGGAGAATAGAAGCATCAGGGAAGAGAGAGGTGAAGGTTTATAAACTAAAAGAGGAGGCAGTTAGGGTAAGATATAAACAGCTATTGGAGGATAGATGGGCTAATGAGAGCATAGGCAATGGGGTCGAAGAGGTATGGGGTAGGTTTAAAAATGTAGTGTTAGAGTGTTCAGCAGAAGTTTGTGGTTACAGGAAAGTGGGTGCAGGAGGGAAGAGGAGCGATTGGTGGAATGATGATGTGAAGAGAGTAGTAAGGGAGAAAAAGTTAGCATTTGAGAAGTTTTTACAAAGTAGAAGTGATGCAAGGAGGGAAGAGTATATGGAGAAAAAGAGAGAGGTTAAGAGAGTGGTGAAGCAATGTAAAAAGAGAGCAAATGAGAGAGTGGGTGAGATGTTATCAACAAATTTTGTTGAAAATAAGAAAAAGTTTTGGAGCGAGATTAATAAGTTAAGAAAGCCTAGAGAACAAATGGATTTGTCAGTTAAAAATAGGAGAGGAGAGTTATTAAATGGAGAGTTAGAGGTATTGGGAAGATGGAGGGAATATTTTGAGGAATTATTAAATGTTGATGAAGATAGGGAAGCTGTGATTTCGTGTATAGGGCAAGGAGGAACAACATCTTGTAGGAGTGAGGAAGAGCCAGTTGTGAGTGTGGGGGAAGTTCGTGAGGCAGTAGGTAAAATGAGGGGGTAAGGCAGCCGGGATTGATGGGATAAAGATAGAAATGTTAAAAGCAGGTGGGAATATAGTTTTGGAGTGGTTGGTGCAATTATTTAATAAATGTATGGAAGAGGGTAAGGTACCTAGGGATTGGCAGAGAGCATGCATAGTTCCTTTGTATAAAGGCAAAGGGGATAAAAGAGAGTGCAAAAATTATAGGGGGATAAGTCTGTTGAGTATACCTGGCAAAGTGTATGGTAGAGTTATTATTGAAAGAATTAAGAGTAAGACGGAGAATAGGATAGCAGATGAACAAGGAGGCTTTAGGAAAGGTAGAGGGTGTGTGGACCAGGTGTTTACAGTGAAACATATAAGTGAACAGTATTTAGATAAGGCTAAAGAGGTCTTTGTGGCATTTATGGATTTGGAAAAGGCATATGACAGGGTGGATAGGGGGACAATGTGGCAGATGTTGCAGGTGTATGGTGTAGGAGGTAGGTTACTGAAAGCAGTGAAGAGTTTTTACGAGGATAGTGAGGCTCAAGTTAGAGTATGTAGGAAAGAGGGAAATTGTTTCCCAGTAAAAGTAGGCCTTAGACAAGGATGTGTGATGTCACCGTGGTTGTTTAATATACAGTATTTATAGATGGGGTTGTAAGAGAAGTAAATGCGAGGGTCTTGGCAAGAGGCGTGGAGTTAAAAGATAAAGAATCACACATAAAGTGGGAGTTGTCACAGTTGCTCTTTGCTGATGACACTGTGCTCTTGGGAGATTCTGAAGAGAAGTTGCAGAGATTGGTGGATGAATTTGGTAGGGTGTGCAAAAGAAGAAAATTGAAAGTGAATACAGGAAAGAGTAGGGTTATGAGGATAAAAAGATTAGGTGATGAAAGATTGGATATCAGATTGGAGGGAGAGAGTATGGAGGAGGTGAATGTATTCAGATATTTGGGAGTGGACGTACGTGTCAGCGGATGGGTCTATGAAAGATGAGGTGAATCATAGAATTGATGAGGGGAAAAGGGTGAGTGGTGCACTTAGGAGTCTGTGGAGACAAAGAACTTTGTCCTTGGAGGCAAAGAGGGGAA